TTCCAGTCTCTTTTGCAGCCAGGACTCAGGCATGGGACTTGGTCTCTCTGTCAGATATATCCCTAGGAACCTTTGATTTAGAGGTGAGCTAGGTGAGGAAACAGGCTCTTTTGGGAGCTTGGCACTTTGTTGGTGCAGGAGGCTGCAAAAGTGTGTGGCATCTGAAGGTGGCAGCCATTCCCCAGCGGTGATGCAGTTTCCTCCCGGGTGGGGTGGGTGGCAGCAGCAATCCCAGTCACGGTGGTTTTCTCATCAGGCCAGTTCTTCAGCATGGTTCTGAGCTTCATTCCTGGAAGCTTAGCCTGGAGGCACTTCTCCAATCCTTCCCAGAATTCCCTGAGCTACCCAGTATCATTTTAACATGCTCTTTTCCCCTTAGTCACCCAGAGTCAGCTTCTATAGCTCATAACTAAGATCCCTGGTAGCTAAAGACACCCCTGCTTAAAACTCTCCAGTGGCTTCCCATACATTCTAGAATGTGCCCCAAATCCTTTCCTTACCCCAAGGCTAATTTTGATCCAGGGCAGTACCCACTGACCTTTACCCTGGTCCTGCCACCCTTGCCTCAATCCTATATTGCTTGCTTCTAAAGAACCCTGCTGTTACAGCAACCCTCCTCTAAGAGCCCTAATCCCAAGGACTTTCTCTGATCTCTTTCATAAAAAAACCCCAATTTTTAAATATATTTTATTGATATTTTTTACAGAGAGTAAGGGAGAGGGATAGAGAGTTAGAAACATCGATGAGAGAGAAACATTGATCAGCTGCCTCCTGCACACTCCCGACTGGGGATGTGCCTGTAACCAAGGTACACGCCCTTGACCGGACTCAAACCTGGGACCCTTGTGTCTGCAGGCTGACGCTCTATCCACTGAGCCAAACCGGTTAGGGCAAAACCCCCAATTTTTATGCTTTACTACAAGAGTCAATTCACTCTACTGTAAACTGGGTCTTTTCAACCTGAGTCTTCAGCACCTAGCACAATGTCTGCCACAAAGGTGATCTATACAGGTTTCCTTAGTGAAGGCCAGGATGTGGACAAGTACTGCCACCTAGGGGGAGAAACTTTACTTAAGTTTTATGATTTGGACAGTGGCTACCAGACAAGGATGAAACTGGGATACCCTCTCTCTCCTCTAGGTTCTCTTCATCTTCATTATTGTCAGACCCTCCCGCATGGCTACGAAGGAGCCCTGCCTATTGATTGTATTCATGCCTTTGGGTTAATCTTCCCACGCTGAAGGGTTGGTTTGGGATCAATAGAATATGACAAAAGTGTTGGTGCCTGACTTTTAAGGCTAGATCACAAGAAGGCACCGTGGCTTCTGCTTTGGCCTCCCTGCGATCACTGGCACTGACGGAAGCCAGATGCCAGGCCATGGGGGCACTCAAGTGGCCTCACGTGGAGGTCCGTGCAGCGTAAAATTGACCTCCTGCCAACAGTCATGTGAGCAAGCCACGCTGGAAGCAGATCTCCAGCCCAAGGTCAAGACTTCAGATAACTGGCCCTGTTGGTGTGGCTCAGTGGTTGAGAGTCAACCTATGAACCAGGAGGTCGCGGTTCCGGTCAGGGCTCATGCCT